CTTATCTCGATAACGCTCCTCGGCCACGGGAATATCGCGAGATTATACAGCTGTCAGCTTACCGGAAATCGCGCAATCTACGAGCATTTATTTACATTCACGTCACTGGCCACACGCAGCGCCGTCGTCCTCGTCCCTCGTCGTCGCGTGTCGTCGAGCACTGAAACTGGGGGAGACTCGGGCGCTCAACGCTGCAGATCGCGTATCTAAAGAACACTCGTGGACATTACGTCAGTGACGTTCCGAGGTGCGTACGCGTTCACGGGATCTTCCTCCTTACGTTCGGCGACGACTGTAACTCGGTCCCGTTGTCGACGCCTCGGTCGTCGAATATTTCGCAGTTCTTCATACGTGGAACAAACGAATAAATCATTCGAACCGAGAAGAGCTCATCCCTCGATGCGGGAGCCGTCGACCATTCGATGTCGAGATAGGAAACTCGCGCAGACGTCGAAACGTGACACGAGCAACGTGGTAACCAATCGGCGTCTTCCTTTCTCGGAGAAACGCGAGTTGATTGGTAGCCTCATTGAACCTCGTTGACGTACGCGTTCGCGACTCGCGGCTGTCGACGAATTGAAATCAGCCGTAATTGTCGCAGGACGAGGCGCCATATTTAAATATAAAATAAAAGAGCAAAAAAAGAATGTTATGAAGACGTCTTTCTCTCTCTCTCTCTCTCTCTCTCTCTCTCTCTCTCTCTCTCTTCCCTCCCTCCTATTGTCTCTTTTTTGTTTTTTTCTTTTCCCTCCTGGAAGATCATCATGATTAAATCCCTGATAAAATCTCGCGGGTGCTTGATACAGATAGGTTTTATCTTTAGCGAGGAAATCTCTTACCTTTTGTATATTCGCTACGTAGGTTAATTTTGATTTTAACCCTCTTTCACTTTAACCTTTAATCTTAATAAAAATACACTGAATGCATTGAATGGAAGTATTTTTATCAAAATTGTCAAGGTGAGAAGATTAAAGTAAACTTTTACTGCTATGTATTACATGCTATCTCAAAGCTATGTATTACATATCATGTATTATCAAAGAAACATCGTTAGATCAATGCTCTATAAAAAGATCGAGTGGAGGACGTAAGCTTCTTTTCTCGTTCGCGGTAAATGTCAAATCACGAGCGGCCATTTTCCTTTCGGATCGTTGATCGCCTCGCGTTCCATGCGCACATATACACACACACATATTTTTGTGTTGAGTATTTTATGGCGTCACACAGCTGACGTGTATATACGTGCACACCACCGCATGAGGTGGAATGATATGCAAGAAGCACGTTAAGACGGGATTACAGTGATCACATCACCGCACGGCACGCAGGGTGGTCCTCAGAGGCGAGTCGAATCTCTGTACGAACGACGTTCTCGCATAACCTCGGCGTCGTCGCCCCGGCGATCAATTCACCCCGAATGCTCCACGGAATCGCGAGCTACTGCTGAACGCCTGAATCTGGCGAATCGCCTTCCCAGTTCCCAGTTCCCCGAAAGGTGAGTACCGTACTCGTCCAGCACGCATATGATTCGGGAAGTTGACGACAACTCGCTCGAGGCCTCCCTTGAGGACGCGTTCAACAGGCCCTTCTCTGTTTACATTCGAGAAGAAGTTTGATGCAGACGAAAGGAAGTAGCGCAAAGGAGAAGAGAACACATGTGACGACCAGGTAGAATGTGAAAGGCATCAAGATGGAATCATTTGGATTTGTGATTTCATCTAGCATGCTGAGTACTAACTTGGAAAACCAATGATTTTGTTTATTTTTATGTTAAAGGTCAAAATCGTAATATATAATTGAAAAGCAGAAGCACTTGCATTATGCTATTTGCTGTAACAATTTTATTCTTCTTATTAGCGCCTGAGAATTAATAGTCTTCAATGGTTAATTGAGTGATACACATCTAATAATTAGATAATATAACTCTAATAATTAGAAAATATAATTATTTTGTATATAAATAGAATTTGTATTTGTTTACAGATGTCGTTGACGTTTCAGCAGATTATATTGGATGCCAAGAAATTGGTCATTCGAATTTCAGATCATGAGAATACTGCAGATACTTTGATAAGCGAGGTAGAGGCTGTATGTGGACAAATTGATAACATGAAGCAGGTAGACATTAAATATTATATACTTATAAATATGCATATATTATAATACATTTTTATATATTGTTATTTTATTTTGCTATATATTTATAATTATTATATTTATAATTATTTTTACATTTTCAGTATCAAGAGGAAGTAGAAATTTTAAATACAGAAGCAAAGCAGAGACCTCACTTGCAACTGATTGCCGGAATACAAAGGGAAAACAAACATTTGCGAGAAATACAGGCAGAGAATAAGGAATTGAGAAATGCATTGGAAGATCATCAGCATGCACTTGAACTCATAATGTCCAAATATCGACAACAAACTGCCTCTTTATTGCGTCTCAACAAAACTGATTATTCATCGATGCATAATTCGAAATATGCTAATGTAAGTAAAAAGATTTTTGCTCTTAAATAACAAGTTTTGTAATTCTCTATCTAAAATTTTTACCATTTTTAATAGATTTTCTGGTTAATCTAAAATTATTAAGAAAATTATTTAAAAAAAAAGAAATATTACGTTTATGTGTATTTTATTAATAACGTATATTTTATTAATTTACAGATAATAACCAGTCAAGCGGAGAAAATTAATGAAATGGCAGTCGTAATGAAAACAGCTGCTGCCTTAGATGAAGAGAATGAATTGAAAGAGAAGGAGGCGTTTCATTCTTTAAAAGAGGAAAATGCCACTCTTCGAGAAATAGTAAATATTGCAAATAAATATGGTTCCTTAAACAAAGAATGTTCTGTAGAAAGCAAAACCGTTCAAACAGATCCGCCAATAGATTAAAGAAATATTTGCTCCTAGTACTTTTGATCCTTTTTATAAAAAGTTGACCAGTATTTATTTCACACATAAACTCATGACATATTACTAGATAGAATCTATTACATATAAGTAAAAAAGTGTATGTGCAAGAGTTGTAGTATATATGCGAATTAAATATTTGTAAAATAAATTGTATTGTAAGCCGTTTGCAACATATATTTATTTTGTAATTTGTGTTTTACTATCCAAGTTATTTATTTACAGAGATTATGATTGTATTTCCATAAAATGTAACATTTTTTTAGAAAAAAATATTAATCATGTAGCTAAAACATTTTCTTTTTTTATCTGAAATGTATTTTTTTTAAAGCAGATGTTTTTAAAAAAATTTGTTATCCTTTATATTTTATAGTGCACATTATGAAACGTTAAATATTATTTGATATACTTATAGGTTTACTGAAAAACTTTGGAATAATTTTTTCGTAATTTTTACAATAGACCAATTTGTTCAATAGACTAATTTCCCATATATTTTGAAAAAACTTTGAAAATTATTTTTTATGCAAAATAATTTTACATTCCTGATTATTTGTTATATAGCTTTATTTTTCAAATACTGCGACTTGACCAATATAATCAGTTTAGTACTATTCGGCAATTTTTTTTTAGAAGTTTTTTATAATTTATTATTTTGGTATATTCTCTTCTTTCGGAAAGACTTATTTTATTTTCCTCAAAAGCGAAACATTCTTAGAAACATTTTTTTAACATTGTCCTTTGAATCAAGAACTTTCTCAGCAAGCTTTGTTTCGTAGAACTGCCTTTAAAAAAAGGGTAAAAAAAGAGTTGTGTAAAAAAGGGTAAAAACACAGGAAGTTTAAGATTTATGACTGTCTTTGTCCTAATCTGTAAAACCTAAAAAATGCTAAAACTTAAAAAAGATTTTTAATCCCTTCGTCCCAATCCGTATACACATATCATGTTTGTTTTTTACCTGTGAGATATATATACATATATATATATAGGTACCAAATAAAAATCTTAATGGTACATATATGTATCACTATTCCACTCTCCTCCCCTCCATTCCCACCAACTAATTCTATTGGTTGTCCGGAAAGTTCGTGTCGACTAACCTATATAATTTAATAAATGTATACTAAAATATGTATACTATATATATATATAAGTTTAAATAAACTAAATGTACACTAAAATTTAAATCTTCTGCGTTTCAATTTTCCTTCAACATCGACTTTCCGGACAACCCAATACTATTGCTTTCACTAAAAATTATCAATTCGACATTGAAACAGTAGATCTGTATGTTTTCGATTTAACAAAAAAATTTATATGCAGTGAAAGGATTAAATATTTATACAGAGAATATTCAACGCAATGTGTGTGCAAAAA